ATTCCCAGCAGTGGGATAGCTGGGTCATATGGCAGATCTACCTGCAATTGTTTGAGGAACCACCATACCATTTTCCATAGAGCCTGCAGCATTTTGCAGTCCCACCAGCAATGTACGAGAGTTCCTTTTTCTCCACAACCACGCCAGCATTTATCATTCAGAGTCTTTTGGATTTTAGCCATCCTAATTGGGGTGAGATGGTATCTCAGTGTAGTTTTGATTTGCATTTCCCAGATGCTGAGTGATGTTGAGCATTTTTTCATATGACTGTTGGCCATTTGTATATCTTCCTTAGAGAATTGCCTACTTAGCTCTTTTGCCCATTTTTTAATTGGGTTGCTTGTTTTTTTCTTGTAAAGTTGTTTGAGTTCCTTGTATATTCTGGATATTAATCCTTTCTCAGATGTGTATTTTGCAAATATTTTCTCCCACTCTGTTGGTTGGCTTTTAACTCTGTTAATTGTTTCTTTTGGTGAAGCTCGTGACTTCTGTGGAAGAACCAGGTGATGGCAGATTGCAGAGCCCCTGAACCCCATCGTGGAGGGCCTCTGAATGTTAGCCACTCCAGGGAGTCTGGACTTGATCCTGAGGGGATGAGAAGATGACATGGTTTTTAAGCAGGAAGGGGGTCATATTGGGGGTTGGGTTTCAGCATGATTACTCTGATTGCCTCAGGGCATGGTCAGGAGGTGAGGCATCTTCTTCATGAGCAATGATGTGATGATGTTACCAGCAGCCAGGCTGGGCTTGCTTTCTTGCATTAAACAAATGACTTGAAAGTCCAAAAGTCGGTGCAAGGATTGGAAAGTTTACTCAGATAACTGGCATCTGGGGGATGACCAGGCTAAAGTCATCCTGCCTTCTGATGCTTGTTTTGGGGCTTATAAAGGGGAAGGGATGGGAAGGTGAGGTAAGGGTTTTGTCCTGCAGGAAAAGGGGAGGCTGGTCACAGCATTAGTAGAGAGTCTGTCAGATGTCAGGGTCCCATGATGGATTGGGTGCTTTGGCGTCTGCAGTTGGTGGACTGGCCAGCTTCAAGACCTTGATGTTATTTCAGGATTGGGGTCCTTATCTCTTAGGGAGAGCTCAAAGACAATAACCTCGGTCAAGCATCACCAAAACATAAAAATACCTAACTTGTACCTCTAACTAATGTGGATGCAATTTTCCTTTAAGCAAGAAGGTGAGTTAATAATCGGCAGGGTGCTGTGCCTTTCTTATGGATTTCTGCTGTTTGCTGTTGATTAGGAAGGTAAGAAACACAAGAAAACTTATTTTCAATCCTTAATTGTAGGTGCCAACATCTAAGATGTATCAGTATAAGAGGGTGTAATGGGAGACAAACAGAAGTAAACTTTTGAGAAAGATACTTTTGGGGCATGATTTCATCTTCTGGCAGTTTCAGCCATATGGTCAGTTTCTCAGTTTCTCTGCTAACCTCAAGGAATTGATGATTGTCAGTTTCGAAGTTAATGGCTAACTAGATTTTCGGCTTGGTCCTAGTTACCCCAAAGGTGGCCATTCTCTGGCTAAGGTCCCTTTCAAAGAGGCAAGTTAACCAAGAGTGGCTGCGGGTGCAGGTGGCAGAATGAGTAAACCAGGTGACCTTCCATCTCAGCCTCTCTGTCCTCTTTCTCAGGTTGCTCTTTGGTTTTCAATCTAGAGTGAAAAGGACACTCGGGGCCCAGTCCTAGGCCAAAATGTTAAGTGGTTTTGAAAGTCTTTCCCCTAAGCTCTCAGATCACCCCCCACCCTGGAAGTGATGGACCCTGTCTATTCACAAAATGAGAAGTCCAGGCACACTGTCAGCACCTCGGGGACCTGCATGGGGGCCTGGGGCATGGAGTCATGGACTGGACCCCCACCCACAACCAGGCACACTGCCAGCACCTCGGGGACTGCCCAGGGGCCCAGGGCTTAGAGCCAGGGACCAGACCCCACTCCCATATCCAGGCACACTGCCAGTGCCTCTGGACCCTACCCAGGGTCCTGGGGCATGGACCTGGGGAGTGGACACCTGCTCACAACCAGGCACACCACCAGCACCAAGGAGCATGCCAAAAACATCACCTCCATGTTGGTGGCCCACCATAGCCACCACAGTAACCATGGCTGCTGCCAAAGTGGCTAGACATCACAACCACCATGCAGATAGTCTGCCAGCCACTGGAGTGCATGGACACAAGGAGAGTCAACAGCAGAGTCCAAAGAAAAGAAGAGGATGTCTCCTCCACAAAGCCCATTCCAGAGTGACAGAAGCAGCAGCAGCTCTATGATAATATTGGGGGACCTGAACACACCTCTCAGCATTAGACAGATCATCTAGGCAACCAATCAACGGAGTAACCATTACTCTTTCAGAAGGAGAGAAGAAATCTAAGGTTATCAGTGATGGGAGAGGGGAGGAAGATGGGGATAGGGAGAGATTGGAGAAGGGGCATAAAGAATAAGTATGATTTGTAACAATATACATACTAGGAATATTGATTTGATCCACACATGTCAACATTGAATCCCCAAAATATGTGTAATCAATTATGATTCAATTAAAAAAAAAAAAGAAGAAGAGAAGGAAGGGATTCCTTGTTCACAGAAAAGAACCCCCAAGGTATGTGTAGAGAATTCTGGAAGTAAAATTCCCAGGTAGGAAGAATGGCTAGGTTGGTGGCCCCAAGTGTGTCCCCTGCCTCTCCTCTCTCCAGTGGGTTATTTTCCCCTGGGTTATCTTGCCTACACGGTGCTGTGTGTGGTCATAAACCCCTTTCCTTGGTTTCTCTAACCCAGCTGAGAGGCTGGTTCCAAAAGGACTCGCCTATGTACTAAAAGAGAAGAAAGGGGAAAGAATCTGAAAACACTTTCTAGCCACGTTTGCAGATACAGGTGTCAACCTGTCCCCGAGGCTGAATTCACTGCACTTTTCCTGGCCTCCACTACCTCCCCCCTCCTCCCAGCTTCGGGCCCATCACGACACGTGGGCCACTATCCTTTTCTTTCTGAATGTAGGCACTGCCCACCGTCTGACTAATTCTCCTCAAACACAGAATACACACTTGCGCTCCCACTCTGCCACCAGGCCCACTTTGTCCATCCTCGGCCTCGTCCATCCTCATCCATCAAGGGACACTCGGGGGTGCCCGACCCTCCAAGAAGCTGCCCCTTTGCTGTACAATCACCCCAACATCCAGGCAATATGACTCATCCCTGCACAGGAGGGTCTTTCTCTCACATAGTTATTTAGTGCTACTGGGTGGCTGGGGGGCCAGGAGGTGAGGGGAGAAGTTTTTACAGTGATTAACCGAGATTCAAAGATTGCTTTCCAGTGAGAAAGGCTTATTTTCAGTAGCATGTGGCCACCTAGAAATTGCTCTTCGTAACTTCCTCCTCCGAAGCAGAGATAAAGTGGTTGCAGGAGAGACATTTATAAGAGGCCACTTCGGAGGCTGACAAAACTTTTCATGTTCCAGCAGTGCAGGGACGTGTGCATAGCTAACGCTGGAAAATGCTGGAACAATGCGAACATGGTCGGAGAGAATTGCCGCTCAGTGTCCAGGGGTTTGCTCAGAGAGAAAGGAGGAACGTGGAACTCGATCAGACTTGGATCAGTTGGGGATTCAGCAGGAGGCAGGGCTGTGGGGAGGGGCAGGGAAGGGACATGCGGAGGCAGAACTGCTAAAGGCCCTGTGGGGAAGTGTTTGTTGGTAAGTGCCAGAACAGCACTGTTGTTTCCCCTGAATTTTATTTTTGGGTGTATATATAGTGGTGCTTAAAGTACAAATGATAAACCCTTCAATCCATTGTGTGGGCTTTCTGTCTCCCTAACATGCTTGGTTAAAATAATCCCTTTGGGTAGTGCTGCTAAGCACCTGAGCCAGGTACTTTCCCCCATCCCATGACAATTGCATTCAAGTGTCTGCTTCCCAGAAGTTGGTGACCAAGTGAGCAGCTTCAGGGAACGGGGTCTGATCTCAGACTGACACTTGCTCCTCTGGGGTGGGGCAGGAGCTTGGGGAGTGGGGTTGCCAGGATAAGGTTATATGCACACATTGCCTTTTCCCTCTTTTCTTCATGACTGGTGACCTATTGTCCTGCTGTTCCTCAAATAGGTTTGACACAGGGTTTGCTAGGGTGAGGACATGTGGGACTTGGCTGGGGTGTGGGCTGAGAGAGGCAGAGGCTCAGCAGACGTGATGCGTACGGGAGGTGCTGCATTTTGCTCCTCTGAGCAGGGAACCTTTGCTTGTCCCATTGTCCCTTTGGCAGAGGATCTTTGATGCAAGGGCTGGGCACCACTATGCTCACACATTCAACCCGTGCAGCCACATTCTCAGTGCTTGCTGTTACACACTAAGGAGAAATACATCTGGCTAAAGCTCAGGGCTGCCACCAAAGTTTCTTCTTGTTCCTCTGCTTGTCCTGTTTGCCTTCTTAACATGGGATCTTTCTACTTAAGCCAGCAGAAACATGAATATTACATAGTCAGTGCTCCCATCTCCTCTTCCGCCCAACCGTATACTCTCATCTGGTCCCTGAATGAATGCATTCACCTAATCTCACCTTGAGCCATCTCCATGCCACTCACACCTGCCTCCTCTGCTCCTTCCATCTTTTTGCTCTGATTTCCTGGCTCTGTACTTCCTCTTGGCCCATCTCACTTCCTGAAACACCCCTGAAGAGGGTTGCTTATCTTGATGGAGCTCAAAAAGTGCTTTGGGGCGGGGGAAAGCGGAGGCCTTGAGTCTGTCTGTCTGGGGAACTAAGAGCAGCAGCACTTCCAGATTCAACCCACACAGAGCTGTCCTCCTGGGGGAGGGTCTGGAAATGACCACCCTGTGACAGGTCCTTTGTAAAGAGAAGGGTCTCCAAGAGATCACCCCTCCAGAGAAGAGAAGGAATGGCAGAGTTGTGAGTTTTAAACTGCTGCTCCACTCGGACCTCTGGGAAGAAGTCTGGCAAGAGCTAGGCTCATTGGCCCATAAAATCCTTCTGGCTCACCTGTCACCTGGGAGGATCCTCTGGGAAAGCAAGATGCTCGTCAACAGCACTGCCCTGTCATTGGCCAACGTCAGCTACATTACCGTGGAGATTCTCATCGGGCTTTGTGCCATAGTGGGCAATGTGCTGGTCATCTGGGTGGTCAAGCTGAACCCCAGCCTGCAGACTACCACCTTCTACTTCATTGTCTCCCTAGCCCTGGCTGACATTGCTGTTGGGGCACTGGTTATGCCTTTGGCTGTTGTCATCAGCCTGGGCATCACAATCCAATTCTCCACCTGCCTTCTCATGACCTGCCTGATGCTGATCTTCACTCATGCCTCCATCTTGTCGTTGCTGGCCATTGCTGTGGACCGATACCTGTGGGTCAAGCTCACTGTCAGGTACCTGCTTGAAGAAGGGCGGGGTGGGTCCGTGATAGCCGGAGAAATGGGGCTACAAAGTTCAGATCCCAGATTTGGTGAAAAGGAATCCAGATTGGCCCTTAATGTTGAAAGAGGGTAGTAAATGTCTTTTCACCCTATGGTCTGTGAGGGGTTTAGCAATGATCAGCTGAGATTCAGGAGCTAAAAACAGAGGAGCGTCTCTTCTCTACTGACCGTGGCTGTATGCTCCGTCCCCCCGGGTAGCTCAAGGTGATGAAAGCTTGACGCATCTTTAATTAGTAAAAAATGCTCTTGAGGTTCAGAAATGACAGAAACCTACTAGATAAGATTTCTTTATTTTATGAGAAAGAGGCAGATGAGAATGAGAGGAGATAAACTGATGATTCCATTGCTTTACAAATATAGGTTGTTATTTTAACTTTGCTTCCTATTCTGTGCCCACCCCAATGTGTAGAAAGGGATTCTTAGAACATATATATATATATGGTTCTTCTCAATCTTCTTCATGTGGGAACATTTTCCCCAAAAAGTTCTCCATTGGGCAAAGTAGAACCACCCTTTCGTGTGACCGTATAAGAGAACAGACTTCCAAATGCAGAAATCCAATTCCCCAGGTGTCCTAAATCGCACCGGTCTCATGTTTCTCCTCTCTTCTCTTGGAGAAAGAGAGTGGTGAGGGAGCTACAAACAAACTTAGATGTAAATAAGTCTGGGTTCAAATCCCAGATCTAGAGATCTGATCTTGGGCAAGTTATTGAACTTTCTCTGCTTCGGTTTCCTCATCTGTATCACAGTGGTTAAGACGCTCCGAACTCAGACTTACCTCATTTTTATTTTAGCTTCACCACTTCTAGCTTGTATAAATTAATTCATTCTTCTGTGTTTCATTTTTTTTTTTTGCCTATAAAATGGAGATAATAATTGCACCTTCTTCATAAGTTCAAATGAGTTAACACATGTAAAGCTCTTAGAAAAATGCCTGGCACACAGTCAATGCTCAGTAAATAGTAGCTATTACTACTATTATTTTCACCATTGCTGTCAATAAAATGGATATGTTTATGAAAATATTTCCAGTTTTTTGTGAGATTTAATTGAGATAAAGTCTACTGAGTGCACAGTCGGTACTTAACGATATCAGTTTTTTTGCAGTATGTGTAGATTTTTGTCAGGAAGGATGGTTTCAGGAGAAATGGTGACTCACTGGATGAGTCTGTTAAGGTCGCTGAAGCACTTCAACACAATCTTGGCAAATCCATTGATTCATTTAACTCAAACACCAAGCATAGATACCCATACAAATAGAGAAGCGTGGGCAGGCACAGGCAGAGGGGAGGTGTGGGAGAGGCGTGGGATAATTTACGTGAATCTGTACAACAGCTAAACGAAACAACACAGAGCGGAGCAGGCAAACAGGCTTCAAGAAGACCGTTGCTCAACAGGTAGGCAATCCCAGGAGACCCAGATAAATCTTGCCTCCCAGGAAGTAAAGAATTCTTAGGCTGGAAATGGAGTCCTGAGTGGGGCATGCAAGCACCTGAGTTTGGGCAACATATTCCTCATCCACTCTAGATTGTTCTTTTTTAGAAAAGTCACCAGAGAAGTTTGCTGGATTTTTCTCTAATCACTGTCTGCTCATCTAGTCTTTATATCTAGTAGAGTTTAGCTGGAGTCACCATAGAATATCAGTGCTCTCCTCTCTTAATAGAAGATTGAGGAATTGAGAGAGTGCATGCTTCATCTCTCCCTCTCTCTCTGCTTCACTGCTCCATCTCTCCCCACCTTTAGCAGTTCCTGCTGTGAACTCACTAGTTCTTTTCCATTCAAACAGATACAGGAGGGTCGCCACTCAAAGAAGAATATGGCTGGCCCTGGGCCTTTGCTGGCTTGTGTCATTCCTGGTGGGATTGGCTCCCATGTTTGGCTGGAACATGCAACTGACCTCAGGGTACCACAGTAATGTCACCTACCTTTCATGCCAATTCCATTCAGTCATAAGAATGGACTTCATGGTCTACTTCAGCTTCTTCACCTGGATTCTCATCCCCCTGGTCGTCATGTGTGCCATCTATCTGGACATCTTCTATGTCATCCGGAACAAACTTAGTCAGAACTTTTCTGGCTCCAAAAAGACAGGTGCATTTTATGGACGGGAGTTCAAGACAGCCAAGTCCCTGTTTCTGGTTCTCTTCTTGTTTGCTTTGTCCTGGCTGCCTCTGTCTGTCATCAACTGTATTACCTACTTTAATGGCAAGGTACCACAACTTGTGCTGAATTTGGGCATCCTGCTTTCCCATGCTAACTCCATGATGAACCCTATCATCTATGCTTATAAAATAAAGAAGTTCAAGGAAACCTACGTCTTAATCATCAAAACCTGTGTGATCTGCCAGCCCTCTGATACCTTGGACCCAAGCATTGAGCAGTTTGAATAGTTATCTGTGAAAGATGACTTTCCGTCTCATTGAGCTTCAGATTCAGCATCAAAAGCACTTGAGCGCTTATCCACCTGGCCTTCCGCCGGGGTGGGCAGCATCATACCTCTCTCCCCACTTCATTTGTCTTCTCTTGTCCTTCTTTAATTCAGTTCTCTGGGGGCCTGACTTGAGGACAATGTATTCTTGATACCATGGCCTGTGTTCCTCCCCACCAAACAGAAGGAACAGTTACAGACACTGAAGCATGCCTCATTGACTTACTGACAAAAGGCCCTAGTAATTGGTCTGGACATGTATGTGATGGGGACATTTCCACTCCATTGTGGAACTGAGCAGTGGACCTGCTCTTAGGAGATGTCTGGGAGATGGTAGTAATAAAAGGAGTGAACTGAGTTTAAGGGACTTAAACTGCTGAATTCTCCTGTGGATGTATTTGAGTGAATAAAGATGACAGCTAACTGTTGTGTACTTCTTTGCTGGGGTCACTTGGGGCTTGAAGACCCAGCTGGCTGCTGTTGGCACTCAGCCTGCTTGCTACCCTTGCCCTAGAACACCCTGCTCCTTATTCCTGGGCTGATCAGAGCATTTGTCATCAACTTTCTGAGCCATTCATCTTTTATTAAAGAGCATCCTAATCATTTCCCCAGGTGTTTCATTCTAAAAGTAGTGAGTGTAGGGCAAAAAAAGGTAATGGACAGCTATTATGTGTTGAGCACTTTCTATGCACTAAGCACTTTGCACCCATTATCTCTTTTGGTCCTGACACTCAGTGAGGTAGAACCACCATTAGCGGGCCGGCCCGGTGGCGCACTGCTACAGTGCGCTGCTTGGGAAGCGTGGTGGCGCTCCCGCCGAGGGTTCGGATCCCACATACAGACCGGCCGCTCACTGGCTGAGCGAGGCGCGGGAGCAACACCAAGGGTTGCGATCCCATCGCCGGTCCCGGTCTGGTACGGGCGCGACACTGAGGGTTGCGATCCGTTGCCGGTCATGAAAAAAGACAAAAAGGAAAAAAAAAAAAAAAGAACCACCGTTAGCATCACTTCCATTTTACAGAAGAAAAAACTGGGGCACAGAGAAGTTAACTAACTTGTCCATAGTTACATGGTTAACAAGTACTAGAGCCAGGATTTAAGCTCAGCCCTGTCTTATGGTAGAGCCCAAGCTTCTCGCCACCAACCGTCAGTCAAAGAGGGGCTCATAAATTCAAAGCCCAAACTCTCAAGCTCACCTTATGTACAATTAACAGATAGATGGGTGGAAACTAGTTTCTATACTGGAGGACTGCTGGGTTTTTGCCTTAGCTACCATTGCTGCTCTCTAATCAGGATACTGAACAGGGTGGAGTGCCAGTCACTTTTGTCTGAGCATTGAGTGTGGCTCCCAAGATTTGAGGTGGCATCTCTGGTTTGGTCTATCCAAATGTGCGGTTGTGGAATCTCATTTTCAAGGCAATATATTGACTTGATGAGAGCAGTGAGATGGAGAGTTCAATGAAGCAAAGAAAATAAGTGGGTCTGAAAATGGAATTATTTCTGAGCCAGTCCTGAAAATTTATCTTAAGCTTAATCTTAGGCCAGAGCCTGATAATCAAATTTATCCTGTTAATACTTCATTTATGCAGAGGATCCTTGTTTCTTCTCCTGTCAGCCCAAGAAGAATCAAGAATTCAAGGCTTTTTCGTGATAATTAGTGTTTGCTTTTAGTTCAAATACTCCTCCGGGCTGAAGCCCTGGGTTTGTTCTAGGGCTTCTGGTGACCCTGGCACACTGTTTTGCCCAGGAACAAACTTTGCCCATTGGAGAGTTGAGGGAAAGTGTGGTTCAGCTCTGTCTCCTCGTTATTTACAAACAATCTCTAACCTAGTTGCTGTAGCAGCACTTAATCCCTGCCCTGTTTTGAAACTCAATTTAAAGTGACCACTTAAGACAAAACAGTATAGTACCAAGACAAACAAAAACCACCAACTAAAAAGACAACACAACAGTCAGTCCTGGGTCATTTATTTGGTGTCGAGTTTTGGGAGGCCAGGGGTGGAATGACAGAGTTTGGGTGTATTGTCCTCCCAGAACTCATGTTGAAATCTGACCCCCAATGTGGCAGTGTTGGGAGCCATTTGGGTCATGGAGGCAGATCCCTCATGAATGGATTAATGCTCTTCCTGGGGTAGGGGTCCTGAGTGAGATCTTGCTCTATTAGTTTCCACAAGAGCTGGTGTCTTAAAAGACCCTAGCATCTCCCCCCTCTCTCTTGCTTCCTCTTCCCCTGTGATCTGTTTGTACCCGCCAGCTGCCTGCCACTTTTTGCCATGGGTAGAAGCAGCCTGAGGCCTGTGCCAGATGCAGCTGTCCCAGAATCGTAAGCCAAATAAACCTCCATTATTTATAAATTACGCAGTCTCAGGTATTCTGTTATAGCAACACAAAACAGACTAATACAGAAAATTGAAATTTCTTCTGCCAAACATTCTGGTCGCAATTATACAACTATTAAATTCTAGAATGTTCCATACATTTTCTCATCTTTTTGTCTTCTTCTAAGTCCTCCAAACTCCTCCAACCTTTGCCTAACACCCACTTCCAAAGCTGCTTCCACATTTTCAAGTATCTATTATTAGCAACACCCCACTTCTGGTACCAATTTTCTGTATTAGTCTATTTATGTTGCTTATAACAAAATGCCAGAAACTGGGTGACTTATAAAGAAAAACGAAATTTATTGCTTACAGTTTCTGAGGCTGGGAAGTCCAAAGTCCATCCGGTCATAGTGACAATGAAAGGGTCTCACATTGCAAGACGGTGGAAGCAGAGAAAGCAGAGAGAGAGAAAGACTCTCCTCTTCTTTTAAAGCCCTCAGAACCATGCCCCTGACCACCATTTTTAATCCATTCACTACTGCACGGTCCTACAATCCAATCACTTCTTCAAGTCTCCACCTTTCAATTACCATAATAGGATTTTCCACCCTCTTAACAGTCACAGTGAGGGCTAAGTTTCTAATACATAAAACTTGGGGGACATAATTCAAGCTTCAATGAGTTTTGCAGGAACATAATTCTATCTACTACAGTGTGATTAGACAAGCTGTAGCTCCTGGGTTTCAGAATCAGTTTTACTTTTTTTCTCTTCCCTCCTGCTCTCCCCCCCCCCCCTTTTTCTTCCTCTGATTGCTACTGCTTAGCAAATTCATGGATGTCTTGCAGGGAGTTGTGTTTTTTGTTTTATTTTATTTTTGTCAAATGGGAACCTCCTGAGATAAGGTGTTCCACCAGCCCAGAAGAGGCCCTTAAAGTGAGAATGTCCCTTAGACTATACTCAAAAAAGATGAACCAGGAATCACTGGTGAGGATCTTGGCTAGAAGTAACAAGTGTAAGGTCGCTGAGGAAGGAGACACTAACTGGGCAAAGGATGGAAAAAAAGATTTTATTAGCAAGAGGCAAGAGGACCTGTCGGACTGAGCCAAAAAATGGTGTCAGCACCAAGAGGCTGTTGGGTGTCTTCTTTATAGGGTTAAGGTTGGCATCTGGCCAAGCCTAGGAAGGCAGTTACAGTTGTTCCATTCTGGGAACAGCTTGCTCATGGGAACAGAGACTTAGGGAGATAGAAACTTAGAGGAACAAAGCTGAAAGGTGGGGGCCTTTCTAAAAGTCAAGTTCTCAGTTCCAGGGACCTAACAACGAGATCCACCCTGGTTTCAGGTTTAGAGATTAGTGTCACAGGAATCTCCCCATGACCCCATCTTTTGGCTAGATTCCTTTCGGCTAAACTGTAAAGGGTAACTGTGGGCTTTTTTCCCAAAGGAATAAGGTAAAAAGACCACCCAGACAGAACCAAGGTTAGTATCTCCTCCAGTCAATGAATAAGATGGAACAAAGGTGGATGCTGAGTACCCAGGTTTATTTACCTTATTATTATTTTTTTTTATTAAGTAAACTGTGGAAATAAGTGAAGGCCAATCTAATAAAACAAGCAAAGGCTATTTATTTTGAGCTTGCTTTAGCAAGGGAGTCACTTGCGTTGCAGCAGAGATGCAAAGGTGGGGAAAGGAGTAGGAAAGCTTTATAGTAGTGACCAAAGATAAACTTACGCACATTAAAATTTTAACAAGTTTATTTGAACATTCAACGATTCATGAATTGAGCAGCTGTAGACCCCCAATGGTTCAGCATTCCACTGAGGAGGTGCAAGGGGAAACTTTCATAAGGTGTTTGTGGAAACAAGACAAAGAAAATATACTTGATTGTTTAAAGTGGAAAGTTCTTAGTTACAGGTTAGTTTGGCAGTTTCTGATTGGTTAAGCTTAAGTTTTGTTTTACTGTTTACATTTAGCTCGGCTTTAGTTTGCTTAGTTAGGAACCCAAGGTGCTGGAGCCATCTCAGCCCAGTGGCCTCTTCATTGTCTTTAACAGTGAGAAAAAAGAGGTGTGCCTTGACTGGAGGCTGCTGGCATGGGGAAGCTGTAGGTGGGCTACCTACAAGTAGGGCACAGTATGTGATTGGTTAAGGGTGTGTATTTGGCTTTCTTTGTTTGGTCCTAATTAGAAGTGGGGACAAAAATAAGGTAAGCTGTCAGGTATTACTCAAGCCCTAGCAATTTGGGGCTGATTGTTACAGGGGTTATTGTTTGGCTTCCTGAATTGTTACTAGAGATAGAAAATCTGACTTCCTGTAAGTTTGACTTATAGCAGGTGTGCTCACTGTTTCTTGTAGATTGGTGTTTAGTTTCCTGAGCAGGTTATTGAAAGTTGGGTGTCAGAATTCTATGTTAATATATGATCTGGCCATTGTCTATATGCATATTCAGTTTCTTACAACTAAATGCACATTTTCTAGAGAAACTCTGCCCTTAGATACTATAGCTGAGTATGATGGGAATAAGAAAACTTGGACTGCGTCTTATCCCAGCCACTCAGGTGACATAGTGTACATAATATCTCTTTGTAAACTAAAATGTTCTACAATTTTAGAGTATTTTACTACTGAGGAAGCAGCATAATGTGATGGAAAGAATTTTTTTAGTTTTCCCCCCACCAGATTTAGCATCAGATCATAGTGGCTATACTAATGTGTGAACTTGGTAAGTTACTTAAACTTTGGAGTCTCAATTTTCTTCATTTGCAAGATGGGAATAATAATATCCACGTCGAAGTTGATTTTGTTTTGTTTTTTTACTTTTTTATGATGGAAAATTTCAAGCATACAAAAGTGGGACAACTGGAATAATGAGCCTTCATAAATTTGTTATCCTACTTCAATAATTATCAACTTTTGGCCAAACTTGTTGCATTTATGCCCACTCCCACTGGCCCAACCCTGATTATCTTAAAATTCTAGACATCAAATTATTTCATCTGTAAACATTTTGGTTTGTATTTCTAAAAGACGTCTTAAAAATTATTATTTTGTTTATTCTTATTACCCATTTACCTTCTAATTCATACATCTAAATAGAGTAAAA